AACCCCCCCCCCCTCCCAACCTACCCATACCCCCCCCCCCTCCCCCCCTCTCCCCCCCAAACCCTCACAACATCCCCTCTACCCAGACGACGAACGCAAAATGTGGAACCATGTCAAGCACCTCGAGTCGCAGCTGGAGATTCTTGCTGCTTCTCATGTACCTGGTGCAGCTGCCGAGCGGTATAACTCGGAGCTGAGCAAGACTGTCTCTCACTTGGCAAACAACCCGGATACGTCGGGTATGTCCTCGTCTATGCTTCAGCCGCAGCATGATGTGTCGATGAACGCTGGCGAGAACGGCGACGATGATCGCCAGCTGTGGTCGGCCTGGGACATGCGGCTCAATATCGGCAAGGCTGTCGGCGCGTGGTTTGGTGGCGATGACGCTGACGCTGCCTCTGACTCCGAGTCGGCCGGCGGCTCGGCGAGCTCCAACGCTGTCGGGCCCGCCCCGCTCGACCTCGGCGCCGACGCCTCCAAGTCGTCCGGCGCTGCCCTTCCGTATGAGGATGTGCTCGAGCTCAACAAGCGGCTCTCAGTCATTGACGCCCTCGACCAGCTTGTCCAGGGCCTCACCTCGTCGCGCTCCCGCTGGCAGAGCGACCTCTCGCGGCTGCAGGCCTCAACCGACCGCGCCCGCGCGAACCCGGTCAACGCCAACTCGACCGCGTTCAAGGAGTCGGTCGCCCTCAAGCTCAACGCTCTCAACTCGTCGTTCCTCAAGCGGACCGACGCCACCCTCCACGACGTCGTCTCCACAGCAGACATCTGGGGCGAGCACGCGTCGATGGCCGCCCAGCTCGAGGAGATGTCGGCGCAGCTGACTGAGTTTGGCGAGCGCCTCCGGAATGAGATGGACGCCCGCGCCCAGCTCACCCACCAGGCCTCCGACCTTGCCCAGCGCCTCGGCGACGAGCAGAACAAGACCCTGGTACTGGAGAACTCGGGCGAGAAGGAGAGCGCCACCCGCCTTCAGCTCGAGCAGCAGGTCTCGCTCCTCTCCGACGAGCTTTCGGCTGCCAAGAACAACACCCTGGCTCTCAAGAACAAGCTCTCGGACATCGAGGCTTCTCTCCACGCCGAAAAGAAATCCAGCGCCGCGCTCTCGTCCGAGCTCACCGCCGCCCGCGACGAGACCCGCGACGTCTCGCTCTCGCTCGACCGCCTCACCAAGCAGCTCGCGTCGGAGAAGCAGCTCCGCGACAAGGTCGCCCGCCAGGCCGCAGACCTGCAGATTGAGCTCACCCGCGCCCTCGAGTCGGCCGAGCTCGAGCGTAACACCGTGTCCGACCTCAAGTCCGAACTTGCCGACGCCAAGGCCACGATCCGCTCGCAAACCGCAGAGTCGGACGTCTCGGCCGAGAAGCTCAACGACAAGCTCATCGAGGTCACCGAGCTCCGTCTCAAGGTCGACGAGCTGCTTGCCCTCAACTCTGAGCTCGAGTCGCGCCTCATCGAGGACGAGGCCCAGAAGGACTTCCTCGACTCGCAAAAGCTGCTCCTTGCCGAGAACGTCGAGGCCGTGCGCCGGACCCACGCCGCCGAGCTCTCTGCCGCCAACGCCAAGATCGACTCGCTCACCGCCGAGAACAGCTCGCTCGCCGACCAGGTCGACATGCTCTTTGCCGAGCTCGACGAGCTACAGAATCGCGAGGAGACCGACATGACAATCGCCGAGCTTCGCCGCATGCTCGCCGAGGCGCTTTCCGCCAAGAAGGACATGGACGGCCTCGTCGTCTCGCTTCGCACCGAACTCGCAGCCGCTGAGGACGCGCTCGCCGACACCAAGCTCGCCCACGAGTCGGAGCTCGCTCTCGCCAAATCTTCGTCGGCCTCGGCCGTCTCGCAAGCCAAGTCGACGGCGTCCGAAGTCTCGGCGCTCAAGGAAACCATCGACGAGCTTAAGAACGCCCTCCACATGGAGAACAAGAAGCGCGTCCAGCTCAACGGGACCATCGACCACCAGCGGTCGCAGATCGAGGATCTCAAGAAGATCAACGCTGTCATGGAGGCCGAAAAAGACGTGCTCCGCACCGAGCTCACCGAGTTTGAGCAGGATCTTGAGAAGGAGATCCACGCCCACGCCTGCAAGCGTGAGGAGCTGGCCAAGATGGAGCGCGAGCGTGACGACTGGATCGCCAAACACGCCCACGAGCACACCCTCCTGCTCGACGCCCTCCGCGCCCGCGACGCCGCCCTCGCCGACAAGTCCGAGACCGATAAGCTCGTCTCCGAGCTCTCGGTCGCCCAGTCGTCAGTCGCCCACACCTCGGACGACTACAAGCGCCAGCTCGAGTCGATGACTCGCGAGCGCGACTCGCTCCTCGCCGCCCGCGAGGACGTCCTCACCGAGCTCGCCGCCCACCAGGCCCAGTACGACGAGCTTGCCGCCATCCGCGTCTCTCTCGAGTCGGCGCTCAACGACGCCAAGCGCGACCTCGGCCTCGCCCACTACCAGACCGCAGAGCTGACCAAGAAGCTCGAGGACGCCAAGCGTGAGGCCAATGGCGCCAACCAGCGTCTCGAGCAGGTCCGCGCCTCCAAGGCCGCCCTCGAGGCCCAGATCGCCCACACCCGCAACAAGCTTGAGGTCGAGGCCGCCGAAAAGTCGCAGGCCACCGTCCACTCGGTCACCCTCGAGCGCAACATTGCCAAGCTTCAGGAGGACCTCGCAGAGACTAAGGCTTACCTTGATGCCGAGGAGAAGAAGACCTTCAAGCTTCAACAGGAGCTCGACTCGACCGCAGAGTCGCTCAAGCTCAAGACCAAGGCCTACGACGAGGTCAAGGTCAACTTTGACTCGGTCCTGCGCGAGAACCAGGACCTTGTCTCCGAGGCCCGCGGCCTCGAGGATGAGCTCTCGCTCCTCCGCCGCAAGCTTCAGACCGACGTCGCCGAGAAGGACGCGCTCGCCCGTGCCTGCGAGACCAAGGACGCCGAAATCGCCCGCTACCGCGCAGACGTCGAGGATCTCACCGCCCAAAAGTATGCCGTCGAGCAGGAGCTGGCAAAGGCCAACGCCTCGATCTCGGCCTCGGGCCGCGACAAAGCCACCTTTGAGCTCGAGAAGATGTCGGTTGCCCAGCAGCTGGCAGACGCCAACAAGCGCCTCGAGCTCAAGGCCGCAGAGCTCGACGAGACCCTCGCGGCCTGGCGCGCCGAGAAGGACCGCTACGAGGCCCGCATCGTCGACCTCGAGGCCAAGCAGTCGCAGGCTCTGGCCAACCTGCAAAAGTCTCTCGACGCCGCTTACGACCAGATGGAGTCGATGACGTCGCAGACCCAGCTCAAGTACTCGGACCTTGAGGATGAGATCAACCACTACAAGAAGCAGCTCCACGCCGCCCTGGTCCGCGAGGAGTCGCTCGTGGCCGAGTCTGCTGCGCTCAAGCAGACAGCCGACTCCGCCACTGGCGACGCCGCCGCCGCCGCTGCCCGCCAGGACAAGGCCGACGAGGAGCTGCGCCACACCCAGCTCAAGCTGACCAAGGCCGTCACCTCTCGTGACAACGCGCTCTCCCGCGTCGCCAATCTCGAGGACGATCTCCGCGAGCTCACCCGCTCCAACAACGCCCTCACCTCGGCCCATGACGCGCTCGTTCTCTCCGAGGCCGCGCTCCGCGAGCGGGTCGAGGCTGTTGAGGCTGAGCTGCTCGAGAAGAAGCGAACGCTGCGGGTCTCCAAGGAGGAGGTTGCTCAGCTCGAGAACGACGCCAAGACCGCCGCCCTCGAGATCGCCCGCCTCTCGGCCAAGCTCGAGTCCGACAAGTACGCCGCCGAGCAGGCTGCCGCGTCCCTTGCCGACGCCCGCGCTACCAGTGCTACCCTCGCCAAGGAGAAGGACTCGCTCAAGCTTGCTGCTGACGCTGCCCTCGCAGAGGTCGACGGCTACAAGGACAAGTGCAAGGATCTACTCCAGTCCATCTCGGACCTGACTGTCGAGCGCGACGCCCTCAAGGACCAGCTTGCGCAGGTCTCCTCGGCCCACAGCGCGCTCCTGGACTCGTCCCGTGCCACCGAGGCCCGCGTCGAGACCTCGGCCGCAGACGCCTCAGACCTCAAGCAGAGACTAGGTGCGTATTTGGCCGCAGGCCGCGGCATGGACCGCTCCGAGCCGCTTCGGTCGCGCCGCGACTATTCGCGGAGCTGATCTGCGTGTGCGTGTGCCCCCCCTCCCCCTCCTCCCCCTCCCTCCCCCCAAGGGACCAACGGAGTGACCGAGAGCTTATCGGTGGCAGTGTGCAGAGGCGTCCATCCCTTCGACTATGTGCGCGCCGTCGCTCATAAACGAAGGGCTTGGCTTGTCCTGCCTCTTTTTTTGTACCTGTGTGTTGGTGGGACAAGTTTGGGCGATTGACTCACCTGGGTGATTGATTGATTGTGGGCGGGCGGTGATGGACGGGCAGATCGGACCAAGGATGCCAACATGCGGCTGCAGACCGAACTTGGCGAGGCGCGGGTGCGGCACTCGGAGCTGTCGAGCAAGATCCTGGAGATGGAGCGGGCAATGGGCGATGTCCGGCGCGAGGCGGCGCTGGCGCAGCAGGACGTGATGGACGCCAACGAGAAGACGTCACGGGTGGAGGCCAAGCTCGAGGCTGCGCGTGAGGCGCGGGCCGAGGCGCGGGCTGAGCTGGAAAAGGTGCGTGAGGAGAAGCGCTACTTGCAACTGGAGCACAACCAGACAGCCCGCGAGCTCAAGTTTGCGCAGTCGCAGATTGCCGAGCTCCAAGCCGCAGTTGAGTCTGAGAAGCGGGCGACGGTGAGCGCGCGGGCGGACGAGGATGCGGCGAAGCAGCGTGCGGCGGCCAAGATTGCCGAGCTGGAGAGCCAGATCTCTGCCGAGGCCGACAAGGTTGCGGCGTTTAACGCCGAGACGCAGCGGGCTGTGGCTGCCGAGGCGCGTGTGGCCGAGCTTGACGCCGAGGTGGCCGAGCTCGACGCCGCGGTCCGTGCCGCACGCAACGAGCTGCAGGCGTGCGAACTGGGCAAGAGTCGTGCCGAGAAGCAGGCGGCCGAGAGTGCGACGGCGCTGGAGCGCGAGATCGCGCGGCGGACCGCGGCCGAGGTCCAGGTCCTCGAGCTTACCAAGGCTGCCGAGGAGGCCGGGGCGCGGAGCTCAACTTCGACGGCCAACCTCAACCGGCGGATCCGCGAGGCTGGCCTAGCGGCGGCCGACGCAGAGCGGGCGCTTGCGTCGGAGAAGCTGGCACGCACATCGGAGAGCCAGGCAGCATCGGAGCGCGAGTCTGGGCTCAACGCGCAGATCGAGTCGCTCTCGGCGCTGCTCGACTCGGAGCGCGAGCAGCGAGCAGAGCTCAACGAGGCGCTGGTGGCTGAGCGTGAGAAGGCCGTGGCCGCCGAGGCGCAGATCAAGTCGCTGACGCGGCAGTTGGAGGACGCGTCGGACGAGGTCGAGTCGCTGCAGGCGGACCTCGAAGCTGCGCAGCAGGTGCAGGAGACGATCAAGGACGCGTCGTTTGCGCAGATCTCGCAGTTGGAGGGCATGCTCTCCGACGCGACCCACAGTGTGGAGGCCGCGCAGCGTGAGATTGCCACTACCAAGGCGGCCCTGGATGCGTCCCGGCAGGAGGCGGCGACGCTCGCGGCACGGTCGCAACTGCTGGAGGAGGAGCTGGCTGAGGCGTCGAGCGCGAGCAACGCGGCGCTTCAGTCGTCGACTAGCGTGCACCAGGGCGCGCTCGCGGCGGCGCGTGAGAACATGAACGAGCTGGCGACCAAGCTCAACGAGGCCAATAAGGCACGGCGCGAGGCCCAGGCCAAGATCGAGCTTCTGGAGGCCGAGTGCGAGGCACTCAAGGACGAGGTAGACAACGTGCACGAGACGTCGGCCGAGGCATCAACGGTGGCCGAGGCCGAGGCCGGCGATCTTGCGGCGCAGGTCCAGGAGCTTCAGGCCAAGCTGCTCGAGGCGCAGCGCGCGATGGAAGAGAAGGACGCCGAGTATGCGGCGCTGGAGGACAAGGCGGCCGAGGCGGCCAAGATGGCCGAGATGACGCAGAACCAGCTGTGGTCCAAGATTGAGTCGCTCCACACCTCGGTTGGCTCCTCCGAGTCGCAGGTGGCCTCGCTCCAGCAGACGCTGGAGAAGGAGGCCAAGCTTGAGCGCGATCTGCAGTCGAAGATTATTGCACTCGAGGGTGCAGATGCGAAGCTCCGGGCGGTGCAGAGCGAGCTGGAGGAGGTGACGCTCGCGCACGGGACGCTTAAGGACCGGTTTGCGGCGACTAAGGACGCGCTGCGCGCTGCCGAGGCCGAGGCCAACGCGTTGCGTGCCGCGTCGACGACCGACGCCGACGAGGTGCTGGCCATGAAGGCCAAGCTCCGCGAGACCGAGGACGCGCTTCAGGCTGCGGTCAACGCAGTCAACGTGGCAATCGAGGCGACGGCGCCGGGCGCCGCGGCCGGAGCCGGGACCGGGGTCGAGGCCAAGGTCGACGCGCTGGTGGCCGAGAACGCGCGGCTGGCCGGCGAGGTGACCTCGCTGCGCGAGCACGTGCAGCAGCTGCGGAGCAAGAACCGCGAGCTTTCTGTGGCCAACAACACGCTTCGTGCAGCCGGGCCTGTGGCTGCCGCCGAGCAGGCTGCGCACGACGATATGATGACGTCGGAGCTGAAGGAGCTTCACGCGCGGGCGACAGCGGCCGAGGCCGAGCTGCACGGCCTCCGGGCGACGCTGCTCGACACCAAGTCGCGGGCTAGCGTGGTGAAGGACGAGTCGGCGACGCTGCGGGCACAGGTTGCGCGCGAGCAGGCGCGGGCAGACAAGGCCGAAGCGCAGGTCAAGGCGCTCGAGCGCAAGATGCTCAACCGCTCGGGCTCGATGGGCTCGCTCAAGGGCGAGCGGTCGTCGAGTGACGCGGAGACCATCCGGTCGCTCAAGAAGCGGATTGTGCAGCTGCAGCGTCGGCTGGAGAGCACCGACGGTGGCAGCGGAAGCGCGCCGGCTGGCGGCGAGTCATCAGGCTCAGAGGCGTCGCGGAATGCGGCCAAGTACAAGGCTGAGCTGCGGGCGGTGCGGACCGAGCGCGACGAGGCCGAAATGCAGATCCGCGAGCTCAAGGTCAAGGTCTCCAAGCTGTCGCGGCAGCTGCAGGCGGCGTCCAAGGACCGCGAGAAGCTCAAGGTCGCGCACAAGGAGGAGATCGCACGCCTCAAGGAGGGCGAGGTGATCATGATGATGATGGCACAGAACGAGGACCTCTCGCGGACGACCGAGGTCGCCAAGGCCGAGGCCGCCAAGCTCCGCAAGCAGCGCAAGGTTGACACCAACCGGATCCACGAGCTCGAGCACCAGCTGAGCTCGCTCAAGAAGGACAAGGACACCCTGATGGCGTTCCAGACCGAGTCGCTCATCGCGCTCGAGCACGATACCGACGAGGTGCGCGCGCTCAAGACCCGTGTTGTCACGCTCGAGCGGCAGCTCGCCGCCGCGCAGGCCAGCGAGGACAGTGCTGCGACGCCGCAGCGGCGGCGGCCGCGACAAGCCGCACCGCTCTCCGCGGTCGACGACTCGGATGACGACGGCACGCTCGCCGCGCTGGACGCCGAGATCGAGGCCTCGACCCAGGAGATCGACGCCATGGCCGAGCGGATGCGGCTGCGGGCCGGGGACTCAAGCCGGCGCATCGAGACCAGTGACGAGTTTGCGTTTTGACAAAGTAAAGCGGGTGCTGCAGCTTTTATCGGTGTGGGGTCAGCGGCCAGCCATCAGCTCGGCCTTGAGGGCGGAGATCTTCTGGGCGGTGGCGGTCACCGCCGCCATGATGCGATCGGCATCATCGGGCACAAGCCGGGCACCGTACCGCTGAACAAACTTGTCCGGGTGCCAGGCAAGAAAGGCAGCACGGAGGGCAGCCTTGTGTGAGGCCGGACGCGATCGACCAGCAGGAGCAGCAGCAGTACCACCAGGCACAGAGCTAGAGGCCTGACCGCTGTCGGCAGCGGCAGCATCGGCGGCAAGGAGGGCATCCAGGCCAAGACCGTCCAGATCGGGAAAGGCAATGTCAGCAAAGGCGATGGGCTCGGTGGCGTCTGGAGCCGAGAGGCGAGCCCATGTTGCGACGGTCTTTGCCGCCGCCGCCGCCGCCTCACGCTCTGCATTAGCAGCATGAAATGCGGCAGCATGGGCCTTGGCGGCAGCGTCTATGTTCCGCTTGCGTGCCTCGTAGCGGGCGTAGAAGGCATCCCACTCGTCGGAGGTCATGCGGAGGTCGGGCAGGTCGCGGTCATCGACCACGAGCTCATCCGCTGCCGCAAGCGGGTTGAGCACACGAGCCGCACGAAGGTCGTCGTCATGGGCAGCAGCTAGTTTGCCTTGCCAGCTCGAGGCATAGGCTTCAGTAGCCTCTTCCTCGGCTTCTTCCCGTTGCAGCGCTTGGAGCTCGGCCTCCATGGCCGCAATCGCAGCCACTCTTGCTCGGCGCCGCGCCTCTTCCGGCGATGACGACGGCGATGGCGATGGCGATGGCGGCCGTTGTGAGCCCTGTGCAAGTCGCCGCGGGTGAGATGGTGGCGAGAACGAAGATGATGAGCTTGACGATGACGAGTGTGTGCATGATCGGCTTCGTGACCTCGAGCCATGTCCAGACGAGCAATGGCGGCGACGATGGCGATGACGGTGATGATGTCGTCGCCGCCGCCTCGAGTTGTGGTCGGTGCCATGGCAACGGTGGCGGCGCGAAGAGGAGCCGGTGTCACGGGATCGGTGGCTATGTCTCCGCCGCGAGCTGTGTCGCGAGCGATGCGAGGACGATCGGTATGAGCTGATGCGCGAGCGACGGGTGCGGTGGGACGATGACCGAGATCGCGATCGCGATCGGCTCAAAGACGGCATATGGAGAGAGGTAGCTGTTGGCGAGACGTGGCGGTGTCAGAGTGTTTATCGTCGGCTTCTTGTCTTGGACTTCTTGCCCTTGGACTTGCCCTTGGCCTTGGTCTTACCCTTGGTCTTGGTCTTTCCCTTGGTCTTTCCCTTGGTCTTTCCCTTGGTCTTAGCCTTTCCCTTGGCCTTGGTCTTGCGCTTGGGTGGGGCGGACGACGACGACTCGGAGGTGCGGTCCGAGGCGGCGACCGAGGATGATGCAGAGGTGGAGGAGGAAGAGCCGAGCTCGACTTCTGCGTGCGCGGCAGTTCGGACGAGCTTGCGGTCGACGTCATCGATGTCTCGGATGAGGTCGTGGTTGTGGGCGGCCGACTTGCGGACGAGGTCGCCCATCTTCAACTCGGCCTTGAGAGCTTCGCGCTCGAGACGTGCGACGGCAGCCTCCTGATCCGAATTGTACATCTCCTCGTACTCGCCGCCGTACTCGTAGTCGTCGGACGAAGAGCCGGCCTTGCGGCGACGGGAGGAACCGCGAGCAAGGCGAGATCGCTTACCCTTGCGTTTGCCCTTGGGCCGGCGGCGGGTGGAGAGAACGAGGGAGCCGTCGAGCGAGGCCTCGAACCGCTCGGCCTCTTCGCCGTCGGAGCCCTGCTTGACGAGGACGACCTTACGCTTGCGGGCTTTTGGCGGGGGCTTGTGCCGTTTGCGGCGCCCACGGTTCAGCTTGGACCGCGGAACCACGATGTACTCGGTGTTGTGCTTGCCGCGGACGACAGGCGCGCGGCCGACAAGGATGCCAGATGCTGGTGAGGAAGACGAGGAGGAGCCGGAAGATGAGGATGATGATGAGGATGATGAGTACGAGACAATGATCGAGGCGGTGTGTGTGTGGCGATGGCGGTGGCGGCGTCCGCGGCGGCGAGGGCGAGACCAAGAACGGGCCGAGCTTCGTGAGAAGGAGCGCTCGCGGCGGGGAGGATGCGGGTACGAGTGCTTGACGACGACCTCGTGAACGATGCGATCCGGATGATCATAATCCGGGTAGCGATCCGAGAGAGAGCCGAGCGAAGTAGCTGAGGAGATGTCCGAGGCATGAGGATGAGACCTCCGCTTCCGTCTCAAATGAGCAATTTCATGAGCCTCTCGAAGGTCCTCGTTGTTTGGCAAGAGAGCAATGTGCCGATGTCCGGTCGAGTCCTTTTTCAACGACTTGAATACCTTGGCCCATGCCCGACTCCGCCTCCTTGCCCGCACTCTCTTGTTCTTGCCTGCCTTCCTCGCCTTGGCCTCGGCTGCTGCCTTGCGCTTCTTGGCTCTCGCGTACTTGCTCTTTAGCTTGGCCTCTTCCTTGGTCAGCTTGTTCCGAAGAATGCCCTTGCCCATACTTCCACGAGGGAGGGGAGGGGGAGGGGGGGTAGTGGGTGAAGGGGGGGGGGGGGAGGGAGGTGGCACTGGCTCACGTTGAGGGCGTCGGGGGCTGGGTTAGGAGGCTGGTGAACGGCGGGTGAACGTGTCGTTGACGGTTAATGGAACGAGAAATGATTGGGTATCGATTAATGGAACGAGAAATGATTGGGTGTCGATTAATGGAACGAGAAATGATTGGGTGTCGATTAATGGAACGAGAAATGATTGGGTGTCGATTAATGGAACGAGAAATGATTGGGTGTCGATTAATGGAACGAGAAATGATTGGGTGTCGATTAATGGAACGAGAAATGATTGGGTGTCGATTAATGGAACGAGAAATGATTGGGTGTCGATTAATGGCACAAGGAATAATCGGGTATCGAACAATGGACAGAGTATGGGGGTTGGCTAATCATTGTCGGAACGAGAGGAAATTGAGAGAAATCGCTCGTGGCCCGACACACGTCACTTAGCTCTTACCTCGACATACATGCTACGCACAGCAGGACTTGCAGCCCGGGTGGCAGCAGCAGGCGGCAGGATGGGATGGAGAGGAGCGGGTGCGCATGCAGGTGGAGCTGGCGGACTGGTCGGGACACAGAGGGCGAGCAGCAGTGAGGGTGCTCGGGCAGCGGCGACGCACGAGGTGACCAACCAGGCGCCGGCATATTCAGCCAATGTGTACACGACCGATCCGCTGGTGGTGGCGGCGACGGAGCGGGCGATGGGGGCTGGGGATGGAAAAGAAGCTGGTGATGACCACATTGCCGGTGGCACCTCGGTCGTCTCCAAAGACGCCCTCATCGAGGCGGGTCACTACTACGGACACGAGGCCAACTACGCGCTGGCGGCTATGGCCAACGAGAACGGGCCCGTCCTCGCTGCATATGACGCTGTCGGCAATCGCATCAACGCGGTCGACTTTCATCCGGCGTGGCACGATGTGATGGAGGCCGGAACGGTCCATGGCGTAGGCCATGGCGTGTGGGCCGATGAGAGCGTGCGCGGGCGGTACACGGCGCGCGGCGCCATGCTGTACATGCACTCGCAGTGGGAGCACGGATCGACATGCCCGCTGGTCATGACCAACGCAGCTTTTCCTCTGCTCAAGTCTGTGGCGACGACGAGCGACGAGCGGGTGTCGAACGGGTGCCGTGCGCTGGCACTCACGTGGGCGAACCGCATCCGCGGCGGCGTGTACGACGGCCGCGACGTTCCGGCAAACCAGAAGCCCGGCGTGACGCTTGGCATGTCGATGACCGAAAAGCAGGGCGGATCTGACGTGCGGGCAAACACCACGCTCGCCACGCCGGTCTCGGGCTCGGCCGCTGCGCGGATGGGCCTGACTGCGGAAGAGGCTGCCGCCGCCCCGCATACCCTTGTTGGGCACAAGTGGTTCACCTCAGCGCCCATGTCAGATGCGTTCATCACCCTCGCCTACACTGACGAGGGTATGTCGGCCTTTCTTGTCCCGCGGTGGCTCGAGAGCGGCGAACGCAACGCCGGCTTCCAAGTCATGCGGCTCAAGAACAAGCTCGGCGACCGGTCCAACGCCTCGTCCGAGGTCGAGTATCGCGACGCGGTCGGCTTCCTCATGGGCGCACCCGGGCGCGGCATCGCCACCCTCCTCGAGATGGTCCACCACACCCGACTCGACTGCGTCACCGGCTCGGCCGGCTCGATGCGGATGGGCCTCGCCCGTGCCGCGCATCACGCCGCACACCGCTCGGTCTTTGGCACCACCATTTCCGACTCGCCGCTCGGCGCCAACGTGCTTGCAGACCTTGCGCTCGAGTCGCACGCCGCCACCCTCATGGCCTTTGAGCTGATGGCCGCCTTTGAGGGCGCAGCCGAGGGTGATGCCGAGGCTGCTGCCTACGCCCGCGTCGCCACCGCCATGTCCAAGTTCTTTGTCTGCAAACGCCTGCCGGGCTTTGCCGCAGAGGCCATGGAGGTGTTTGGCGGCAATGGATACGTTGACGATGCCGCCAACGGCATGCCGCGCCTCTTCCGCCAGTCGCCACTCAACGCCATCTGGGAGGGCTCGGGCTCGGTCATGGTCCTTGACATCATGAGGGCGGCGGCCAAGGAGCCGGCAGCCATGGCCGCTTTCCTCGGCAAGCTCGAGACCGAGCTCGCCGCCGACTCGCGCGCTGCCTCCTTCCTTGCCGCTTCGCCGGCCGTCAACGCTCTCAAGACCGGCAGCATGGATCTTGTCCAGGGCCGTGCCGCCGTCCACTCACTCGCCCTCGCCCTCCAGGCCATGCTCATGATGCAACGTGCCGACGGCGACGTCGCCGACGCCTTTATCGCCTCGCGCCTCACTTCGTCCGCTGCCTCGGGAGTCGGCCTCTACGGCGGCCTTGACCTCCCGCTCGACCAGATCCAGCGCATTGTCGATGGTATCACCACCGAGTAAAGCGGCGTTGTCGGGTCGGGCCAAACCTGTTGTCGACCACCTCACTTCCGTCAATTCACGCCATGGCCAGCACCAGCACCAGCACCATCACCACAATTCTGACCGGAGTTGTCCAAGTCACCGTTTGCCGCGGACGCGAGCTACTGGTGTGTGACAAGAAGAGCTCCGACCCGTTTGTTGTCGTCCAAGCTGGCGCCGTCTCCTTCCGCACCCCCGTCGTGACCAAGTCGCTTGCTCCGGTCTGGGCCGACGATGGTGAGTCATCGAGCGGTGGCGGCTCGGGTCTCGGTGCTTCCTCCGGCGCAAAGAATACCTTTTTGCTGCCCCTCATGGCCGCACCGGGCTTCTCCCTCCAGATCCTCGATTGGGACCGTCTCGGCCCGGCTGACGCCATGGGCACCGTCTTTGTCTCGGCTGAGGACATCCTTACCAAGGCCGCCACCGCTGACTCGCTCGCCACCGGCACGTCGACGTCAGACGAGTTCTGGTTCCCGGTTGCCCACCCGTCGCAGCCAGGGGCCGCTGCCGGTCAGCTCGCCATCAAGATGCTCTGGACTGATCAGACACCCATGGTCTCGCTGCAGGGCGGCGCTCTGCCGGCCGGCACTGTCTGGCTCGCAGGCATCGCCGACAACGAGTCTCTCGTCGTCCCGCACCCGGCCCCAATGAGCTACGTCCACTTTGTGGCGCGCATGGCTCCGACCTGGTCGTCGTACAATGCCAGCCCCGACACCAACCTCGTCATCGACGAGATGGACGGCCCGCATGCCCTCCTCCGCTATCCGAACGACTCCAAACTCGCCAGCAAGTGCTCGGTCAACGCTGTCGTCGGCCTCATCGACGCCGCGCAGGCCGCCGGCGGCCGCCTTGTTCACACCCAGTACGATCCTCGCGCCAAGACCAGCCTGCTTAAGTTTGCCACCCACGACTCTGCGAGCGAGCTCGCTACGCCGGTTGCCATCCGCTTTGCGAACGCCGAGGTCATTGTCTCGACCTCGCTCGGCTCGCACCGTCCGGCCGTCCGCGCCGCCATCCTCACCGGCCTCACCGGCCTGCAGCTCAAGACCGACGGTCTCGAAGTCCATAAGGACGGACTCTTCCACGCCAAGGCCAAGGGCATCGACTTTGACATGGACGACATTCGCCTCCAGTACATGGAGGCCGTCGCCAACGCGCTCTACGCCAAGGGCCTCTCCCTTATCGGCCACTTTAGAGACATGCTCATTGTCCAGCCGCACTGCCCGGCCGTCCACGGCCCGCAAGGCAGGATTGTTCTTGCTGTCGCCAAAGACGACGCCCTTATCCGCTCGCCGGCTCTCCCGGACCAGATCGCGGACGCCTTTGTCACTGCCCTCGGTCCAGCGGCCGCCAGTGCGTGGGTCGGGAGCGACAACAACAGCTGTTCCGCGCTGGTTGTCGACGACCCGCGGGCGGAGGGTGACTTGTTTGACAACATCAACACAACCGCGACGATCTCGGCGCTTCTCACAGCCTCAGCTTCCGCCGGCGCCCTCAGCGCTGCGGTCGTTGGCACCGACGCCGACATTACCCTCGCCTTGGTCCTACCCGACTGCCCACCGGGCACCGTCCTCAAGCCGTCCGAGCTGGCCACGGCGTTGTTCATCACCCGCATTGAGTGCAAGGACAAGTTCGTCGAGCTTGACTCTGTCATCAAGGAACACGACTGGTTTGTTTCGGCTGTAGTCAACCCTGCGCTGGTCGACGTCCGCCGTGGTGGCGTCGCTACAGGTGACACAGCCATTGCGCTCGATGAGCCGTTTACTCACGTCGCCACCACTCGCCCGCTCGACATTGCGCTCTCGACCAAGATCCTGGCCTGCGGTGGCGCGCTTCTCGGCACGCTCTCCATCAAGGTCCTGCCGGACCGCGACCGGTTCAGCCTGCTCGTCGGCCTCCCAAGGACCGCACCGCCCGAGTTGGCCGAGCTGGCCAAGCTGGCCACACCGGCTCCGACCGACGTGCTCGGTGGCATGTACTCGGGCGGAGGACTGGCGGCCACAAGCTCAGCGTCCGCGCCGCCGATCTTTGCCAAGCCAGCAAGCCTCCTCCCGCTGCCCAAGCACTAGTCACCGCCGCGTTTGTGACGATGGCGTCGGCGATGCGTGCAAGTGGACGGTGCCCTCGGGGTTGTCGCCGAGGTCGACCTTGATGAATGAGTCCGGCGAGATGGCAGCCTGTGCCACAAGAACCTTTGTGAGATCGACGCTGAGATCCGAGGCAAGCGTCCGGAGGTAGTCGGTCCGAAGCGCAAGCATGTTGCGGGCGTGCTCCTCCTCGGCCGCCATTTCCGCCTGGCGCGCCTCGAGCTCGATGCGCGCCGCAGTAGCCTTGATCTTGGCCTGCTTCTCCTGCTCCAGGATCGCGAGCTCCATCACATGGTTTTTCTCAGCAAGCTCCATCTCGCGGCGCTCGTTGGACCGCTCGAGCTCGGCCCGCTGCTTGAAGGCCAGCAGTTCCTGCTTCTGCGACTCGGTCTCGGTCTCGAGCTCAAGCTGCTTCCGCCGTTCAAAGCCGCGCTCCTGCAGACCCTGCATGGTCGAGGTTCCCGAGTACCCGCGGAACGCAATGTTCATGATCTGGAAGCCCGAGGCCTCGGCCCGCCGCACAAGGTTCGGGAACGAGTCAGTGTTGTTGAGGTTCTCAGTAAAGGCCTTGAACTCCTCAAAGCTCATCTTGGAGACAAAGGCAAGGACGTCGGCCGCAATGGCCGATGTCACGTCCGCAACTGGATCCGCCGTCTCGTCGCACATCCGTTCGATGTCAACAAGCCGGAAGACAAGCGCAAAGTTGAGCTTGAGCGTCGCATCATCGGTAGTCCGCGCGTTCTCGATCTCCACTGAGAACTCTTCAGGAACCAGCCGGAGGCGCGAGAACGTTGCTCCGCCCTCGCCGCCCCACGAGAACGTCTCGATCCACTCGTTGTGTGCTGGCATCATTGCCGTTGGTCCGTAGATAATCCGCCGCTGCACGTCCTCACCCGCGCCGTCCTCGCCGTCGGGCGACGAGAACATGACCAGCGCCTCGTTCGAGTTGAGCCGGACGACCGGCATAACCTTGACCGACGACATGGTCAGTGGATCAAACCACAGCTGCGTTGGGCCCATGATGTGCTTGATCTCGCCGGACCGGTACGAAACCACAAGATACGTCGTCGTCGACGCCGTGTACTGCCGCACGTACACAATCGTCGATCGGTAGAGGAACGGCCGCGCAGGCCCGTCCACGAACCGCGCCTCACCAGTCCGGTTTGACCGCGCAAGCACCCGTGAGCCGTCCTCGATAGTCCGATGAGAGCACCACACATCTTCCCGGCCCCACGTCGCCGGCAGCGAGTTTTGCGGATCCATAGGCGTCACCGAGTCGCCGCCACGTCCATACGTCGCCGTTGGCGGCGCAACAGCTCCAGGCGGCGCAAACGCATGCGGCGCAACTGGCGGTTGCGCAAAGATGTTCTCCTGGACCTGGAGGATGTCCTGCTGCTGCAGAACCGGGTTCGATACATACTGTCCGTGCGATCGGTTGCGTTGATAGTTGGCACGCGCTTTCATGGTCATCAATTCTTGCCCTTGGAATGGTTGATTGTGGCCTTTGTTCATCGTATGGACGCCGCAGAGAAATCGTCATGGTTTTGTTGCTGCCATGAAGGAAAAGAAGGAATGCCCTCTGGCCTGCCTGCAGAGAGCCCCTTTTCGCCGCTTCAAATCGACGGCATGCGCTCGATCTACATCAGTCAGAGGCAGACAACGCCGTGGGAGTTGAGGCCGTGGTACGGAAGCAAGGGGGGGGCACACGTTGTCGGGGAGAGGGGATGGATGCGGCCGAGATAGAGGTTAGAAAGTGCACCCGGGGCGCTGAGGGGAAGAATGGAAGCTTGCGTGGCAGCCATCGACTCACAAATGGAAGCCGGCGCCACGGCAAGAGCTGGCCCAGGCGAACGTCTTGCAATATCACCGTGAACCCGAGGGCTAAGCATACACACACTGGCTACCTCCTGTGATCGACTCGAGCCCTTTGCCTTGTCTATTTCGGCCCGCATACGCGATATCAAGCCGAACGACCTATGCTCAAAAACGTCGCCGTGGCATTCAACGGGACCCCTCCTCCCCGCCGCAACCTGCACCAGGGGACCACCCTGTTCGCGAGCTCATGTGTATGGTGAGGAATACTGCTCGAGGGACGGGAGGCGCGGTTGGCGCCGGGTGCGGGGGGGGGGCTGCCCCCAAAAAATAACTGCTTGACAAAAAAAAATTATCGCATGAGCCAAATTCGCCGTCGGGTCGCGCCCTGCCACGCGTTGAGCTGGCCTAGGTGGCGAGAGGGAGAGGTAGTTGGCGACGTCGTCTGAGACGTCCACTTGACGCACTCTGACCAGAACTTGCTTGCGGCTCAAGTAGGACCTCTTCTACAGACGAAGCACATCAAACTTGGGTGTGCTTGCTTACCTTCTCCGCATTGCTCACCTGAGTCGCTCTCACTGGCTCTCGTCGCTTGCGCGCCTCTTGGCTGACTCGACCGACCGCCGACTCGAACGAGCAACACGACCGGCATTTTGCGAGCAAAACGTGCAGAGGAAGAAACAGTCTGCACAGCCGAGCACATTGGTCGCTGCTTCGCGTGCGAGGTACTGTCGTGTAGCTAAGAACTTTGGCTACGCCACCAGCGCTTTGATCAAAGTACTTGACTCGCTCTTTGTCGTCGTCGTCCTCTGCTTGTAGTGACCGCTGCTGCCACGCGGAGATTGCGTCATCGCTGTACCGACAACTGGACAGGCTATCTGATCTGATATTCCCCCCGTCACGGTTCGCCAAGTAGAGCAAGATGGCTGCCGTCGAGTCCGATCCGATCAAGGACTTTCTGGCCGGAGTGCTGGGTGGAGTATCGGGCGTGGTCGCAGGCCAGCCGCTGGACACGGTCAAGGTGCGGATGCAGGCGCGGCCGGCCGGGACGTACACTGGGTTGCTGGATGCGTTCCAAGCAACGATGCGCAAAGAGGGCGTGGCCGCACTGTACAAAGGCATGCTCTCGCCGGCGCTCGGGTGTGCGCCGGTCAATGCCGTGCTGTTTGTGACGTACGGCTATCTGACAAGAGCCATCATGGAGCCCGACGGCGCGCTGGCGGCACTCCTGCCGGGAGGTGGGACCGAGGCTGCGGACGTTGCAGAGCGCGGTGATGCCAACGCAGACCAGCAGCTGACAATCGGGGCGGTGGCGCTGGCCGGCGCCGGTGCCGGGCTAGCGTGCTCGATGATCACCTCGCCCATCGACCTCATCAAGATCCAGCTGCAGAACCAGAGCGCCAAGCGCAAGACCGCCGAGTACCGTGGCAACATTGCGACCATCCGGCACATTGTGCGTGTTGGCGGCCCGCTGGCAATCATGCAGGGCCTGGTCCCGTCGTTTGTCCGCGAAATCCCGTCGTATGCCCTCTACTTTTCGTCGTACGAGCTCGTGAAGCGGCTACTGTTGCCCGACGAGCTCTCCGCCGACGAGCTGTCGGCCACCGCCGTGGCCACGGCGACCTTGCTTTCCGGTGGCATTGGCGGCACGCTGGCTTGGGTCTCGACCTACCCGATCGATGTGATCAAGACCAAGGTCCAGGCCCGCGACCCGGGTATGGTCAACCCGCCGTCGATGCTCGCCACCGCCCGCTCACTGTACGCTGCCGAAGGCCACGCCGTCTTCTTCCGCGGCATGTCGGCCTGCATCATTCGCGCCTTTCCGGCCAACGCCGTCACGTTCTTCATCTACGAGCTTGCCCTCAAGCTCATGATCCAGGACGAGTCCAATGAAGAGTCGTGAGCTCTGCTGAGCTGTCCTGTTTCGACCACGTGAGACACACCCGCGCACGCACGAGCCCCTCCGTCATGGCTACATGTTTACATCAGTTATCGTTCGCGGCCCGGCATCAGCGCCGCGCAGTCGCGTCCGCGCTGCGCCTGGCCTACCGGAGCTTGATGGCCCGCTGGGCGTGCATGCCCTCGTTGCGATCCAAGCGAGCAAAGGCTGACGGCCCGCGATGCGCCACCGGCTCACCGCCGCGGACCCGGTTGTAGCCCAGCTTGTGCCTCCGCTTACTCTTCCGCTTGCTCTCCTTTCCAGCGCGCCGGGCAGCACCTGCCGGCACAGACCTGTTCTCGACGCCGACCTCGGCTTCCGCCTCACCCTCGCTCCTGCTCGCCTTGCTCGCCTCGATGGGCAGCTCCCGCAACGGCCGGCGCAGGGCATAGCTTCCAAGCACGGCAGGATTCGGCACCTGCAGCACGCCTGTCTCTGGATCGACGTTCTCCTTGTCGGCCAGCTGAAACAGGAGCTCCAGGGGGAGCTCAGCCTCATTAGCGCGTGGAGGATCGTCACCAGCTGAGATCTGGCGCAGAGCATCATCATCGCCATGGCGTCCTCCCATCGCGTCATCGTAAACCGTCGGCGGGCTATTGCTTCCGCCGCTGTAGTTGTTGAGCCGACCAAAAGGCCCCGTACGGCGTGCGCCAGTAGCAGTACCTGCCGACGGTGAGCGCTTGAACGTCTGCGACTTTGGCGCCAAAACAGGCGTCGAGCGATGAGGCGCAGAGCCATGGGCAGCCAGGCGACGAGGCCCAGCAGCAGCAACAGCAGCAGCAGCAGTAGTAGTAGTAGTAGTAGTAGTAGCGGTAGCAGCAGCAGGGGGTAGGCCTGAGCGAGTGGGTGACTTTGATGACTTTGACGGCTTTGTCGTTGTCGGCATGTTGTTGGCCGCGTGCGGCGACTTGGCCATCATCTTCATCACCATGTGACGATGGTCAGCCGGCTCGATGTTCTCGTTGTTGCCCACATGCTCGCTCTCGTGCCACACACTACGCGCAGCAAACATCATCGTCTTCTTCCTCTCACCCAGAGTCGTGCAGTGCTTGTCGACAAGGGTGGCGGCGGGCGGCGGCGTTGTCGCTGGTCTTGCACCACCGTTGAACGAACGAACGAACAAACATATATGTAAACAAACGAGCATGTGGCTGGAAACAACAACATTTTGGCGCGCATTCGCTTCGTTGTAACTTTGCTCGTCACCCCCTCCCCTCCCAGGGGGGGGGGGAGGGGGGGGGGGGGGGCTACCTGCATCGGCTGGCATGGTTTGATGAGCTGAGCACAGAATACAACGACAGAGATCAGTTAGTGGTGGCGATTAGCCTGCGATGACAATGACGAAGACGACGACATCGGGCGGGCCTTGGCTTGCAGGACCGAGGCGCGCTTGCGCTTGATGCGCTCGATCTTGGCCTGGTGGTCGATCGAGTCTGTGAGAGCGTTGCGCGGGGGGTGGGCGGCCGGTCGGGCGACGTGGAGGGCGAAAAGCTAGGCGGCGGGTTGGCGATAGAACCTGGCGTGATGGTGATGGCCGGCGGCTCCGGGGTGGGCCGGGACGGTGAGCTCGGGGACGAGCGCGAGCTCAGCAGTGAGCGCCGCGAGTCGGGCGAGGGAGTTCGGGTATGGAGTTGGATCGAAGGCTTGCGGGCCGAGAGCGGGGTTTGAGCATGCCAGGCCCGACCTGCCGGCGAGAGTGGTGTCATGGGCATGCCCAAGCCGCCGCCGCCGCCGAGGTAGGGCGAGGGGAAGGGGGAGAGACCAAAGCCGGTGTTGGGCGCAGCGGCGAGCGACTCCCACATGGCAGCGGCGTTCGACTCGGCCTCGAGCAGCTGCTTTCGTTTCCGCTCCGAGAACTCAAGATCCTCGATAGAGATCGACTTGACCCGGTGAGGCGAGACCATAGGGGTGGCGGGCGTCGGCGGCGCGAGCGGCAGGCCAGGCGCGGTGAGGTCGGCTTCGATGCGAGCGGTCGACGTCAGCGGCTCGAGGAGCGCGGCGGCGTGAGTTGAGCTCGGCGCAGGCGGCGCGGCGATGAAGGACGCAGCTGACGAGCCGTTGGAAGTGTGGGCAAATGAGGCATGCGGAGCGCGTGCTGGTGAGCCCGGGCTCGCAGACGGCGTCACCGAGTAGAACGGCGACGGCGAGGCCGGGCGAAGATAGCCGGACTCGAGGTTGAGCGGCGAGTTGCGTGGGGCAAACTGCGAGAACCGCATCGGCGACGGCGGCGCCACAAGGTGTGGTGACGGCTCCGGCTTTTGCTCCAGCGGCTCAGCCCAGCGGACCGACCTCTTGCCAGTCGAGAGCGGAGTGGCAACCGCGTGCGGCGGGGGTGATGCGCGCGCTGGCGAGTGGAACGTCGGCTTGGGCGGTGAGCGCATCGGCGAGCGCGAGTGAGAGTGCGACCGCGACCGCGAAAGAGACCGAGTGGGCGAGAGTGGCGGCGACACGCACAGCGGCGACATAGATGCTGCCGGTGGCGGCGCGTAGTGAATGCTCCCAACAGCCGGTGGCGGAGCTGGTGGAAGGCTCGGGTACGCGATGGACGAGCGGGAGATGCTTGGCGCAGTGGTGTTCCACACAGCGGACGAGGCAAAGAGCGACTCCATGACGTTCTCCAGGTGAGCGATGCGGTTCTCGAGCTCGCGGGTGGACGAGCGGTTGCCGAACGACGACGTCGTCGACGCAATGCTGGTGTTGACACGGCGGGTGCTAGGCGAGTGCGGCGAGGCCCGGGCTGTGGTGCGCGGCGGCAAACCCGAGGCGGTGGTCGAGTTGTAGGCCGTGGAGCCGACGAGCGACGCCGGGTGGAGCGGGCGCGGATACCTGCCCGACGGTGAGACAGAGCTCGACGGAGCGCGGGGGCGGCTTGCGATCGACGACCGGTGGACGTGCCACAGAGCCTCAAACGACGACGAGTGAACGCCGGACGGCATTGCCGCGGGCGAAGTCGAGGCCGTGCGGCCCGCCGAGGGCGAGGTTGTGATGTGGCACGAGCCAACCAGGGCGATGCGCATGACCGGCGAGCCAGCAGTAGGCTGGACCGTCAACAGGGCATGATACGGGCCAGGCAGATGCGGGGTAAATGCCACCGCCACATCGACAGCCTCGCCGGGCGCCAGGATGTGCGGCAAGCCCGGCGCAGCGACGAGAACAAAGAACGGCGACGCGTCGCCAGTCGAACTTACCGAGGCCAGCGAGGAGGCCGAGGCCAGCGAGGCGCCAAGCAGCGAGCCAGCACCAGTTCTAGCCAGCGAGGCGCCAAGCGGCGATGAGACGTCCGAGATGCGGAGAGCTGTGACAGTGAGCTGCGACGACGTGGTGTTCGTCACTGTGCATGTATGTGATGTTGGATGTTGGATGAGTGAGGACAATGAGCAGCAGGCAGGCCGTGCCCGCGAGTGAAGGCCATCCCCACACAGCGCGGTCCAACGACGGATTGGCTATGCCCACTCCGAGCGATGCGACCGCAGCCTGCACCCACACGATCTCACCGATGCGACCAGGGCACGACCGCCACGCCACGGCCATGGCCACAACCCCAACCCCCTGGTCATACCCCCCCCCCCCCCCCCCCCCCCCCCCCCCCGAAAAATGGCCAAAAGAAACACCACTCATTATCCGGAATGGGAGGAAAATCTTCTCATACAACATATCCCTCAATAATGTGTCGTTGCGGGAGCTGGGGGGGTCTATATACGAGGCTCTCCACCCTCTCTCTTTGTATGGGGGAAAAATCCTCTTTTTTTTCCCCCACTTGGCGTGGCTCCCCCGAGACACAGGAGTA